ATTAAAAAATAAAATTTTAGATATATTGTTAAAATTATTTTTTTTTAAAATGACATGTAAAATACTGTTTTCTATATAAAATTAATTTTTTGTATAATTGCCTGTCCTATTTCCCATGTTTAATATAAAAATCTAGATAAACATGATACATAAGTAAATGTAACATATCATCAATTGACTCATTAGAAACAATTAACACAAGTCCATCATCATTAAATCTCTTTGCAAGATGTTTATGCCATACAAAATATTTTTTGCTGCTTATTTTAACTTCCCAATTTTTCTCACCAATTTCTCTGTTATCATTTTTTTTTTGGCCATGTCCTCTGTAACTTGCTTGATGATGAGGTAAAAAAAAAAAAGAAATGCATGATTTGAGTCTCACTTGTCCTGCTAGTGAGTACAAGTGTACAAAAAATAAGTAAACAATAGTTTGAATGTTTGACTGTTATAGCGATTACGGTTAACGTAAACGGTAATATAGACGGCATCCAATTGAGGATGACATTGAACAAAAAAAAAATATAATTGAGGGACGACATTTATACTATATGCCAAGTAGAGGGATGACATTGAACATTTCCTTAGTAAAGGATGGTAATGAACATTTTTGCAAAGTATGAGGATTACAGTTGGCTTTAACCCCATTAAATTTAAAATAATTTATTTAAATAAAAAATTTTCATATTTTAACTCTAATTTTTTTCCTGGAAAAATGCGAAGCTGCTTGCTTCTTTCCCCTTTTTTTTTTTATTTTTATTTTTTTTGTCTTTTTTGTTTCTCTATCTACAATTTTCTGGTATTCCCAAGTATAATTATCTTCCCTTTATTTGGAAATGGAGGTTCCATCTGCAAGGAAAAAGAAAGACAATTACTGAAGACCCCATCGCCTGCAATTGTTGACCCCGCAAATTAAGGAGAAAAAGAGAAGATATGCAATCTCTCACTATTTGGCTTTTTTCATGTAATTTCATGAAACAAATTTTTTTAATTTCATACTGTAGCACCCATGAAATTTCTTCCTTTTACTTGGAGGGTCCCATTTGCATTCATTTGGGTGACAAGGCATCTTTTGTTTTCCAAAGAGAACGGCAATAAAGAAGAATTGTTGTTTTATAGTCTACATTCTATAGAATTGTCAAACGGAAATCAACAAATGATGAATAGTTTTTAATATTTTAAAAAATTAAAATTAAAATATTTTAATATTATAAATATTAAAATTTTTCATAAAATTATTTAAATATATATAAATATTTTTTAGTATTAATTTATTAAAAATATTTTAATTTTTTATTATTTAACATTTTAATTATTAAAATATTTTAATTTTTCTCATCCTTTTAAAAAATTTATTTTTATTTAATAATTTAAATTGTCTACCCTAGTGCAATCCACAGCACCATTTTCAAATAAAGAAACATCATATTTTATAGGTTAAACACACAGAAATATATCTTGATTACCTATTCATATGGTGCCTTATAACTATTAGAAAATGTAATGTTTAAAACAAGTTGAGTGTAAAGGCCAAAAATTAAAATAGGCTAAGTGCCCAAAATATCACCAAAATTTGGAGAAACCAAGTTTGCTGAACGTGAGCTGAGAGGGATTGAGGAAGATCACCCTTTCTTGGTTTCCCTCTTCTCTGTGTTGCATACATAAAAATGAGGGAACGTGTGGGAGACTAATTTGTTGTTAGGAGATGGGATAGGATCTACTGAATTCCCCTGCACCAGAATCAATATTAGATAAAATAACACAAAGATGGCACGTCTTGTACGCTGCAACAGGAAAGGGAATGGATGAATAAGTGCATTGTTGAAATGAAGTGTAAAGACAGAGATATCTTAGAGTGAATTTAAATCCTAAATAATAACATAAACAAAGAAGTAAGTAGCACAGTAGAAATTTAAAGAGGTAAGCTGGCTACTCGCAAGGTAAGTTCTGCTTTCCCAACTGAAAGGTTGCAAAACAGCTAATAAATTGAACTTGAATAGGGACAAGAAAGACAAAAATGAGCTTTTCTAGCTTTGGAGATGCATTGATCAAAAGCCAACTTGTGTATAACACTATTTCAAAAAGGCTCACCAAATATCACACTCAACAAGTATTCTTCTGTGTGTGTATAATTAAGCAAAAAAAAAAAAAAAATCAAACTCAAGAATAAATCAAGCAACTAACAAGAAACCAGATTTTTTTAACGTGGAAAACCCTTGAGGGTCAAAAATCATGAGACCTAGTTCAGTAAAAAAACAATCACTAAATATAAACATTATTACAAAGTGTATTCTACTCTAGAAAACACTAGAGGTTGTACACAAACACAACAAACTGTAAATCATCAAGAATAAATTCTTGGATCACCATTGTCATAATCATCATCAAAATAGAATTGGAACTCAAAATTCCAATCAAATTGGGATAAATGTCACCAAGCTTAAGTGTGCTGTTGCAACTCACTCTTACTGTCTCTCAACTGTCTTTGCAATGTTGATCAAAACTAGCCATTAGCCATTATTTAAAGCTCCACTGACTTGATACATTCAAAGTCCAATCCTCTTGCAATTCGTGTGTGCATTCATGATGAGTTTTCTCGATACCAGATCGATGGATACATACAACAGAAGAATCCTGCAAAAATAAGAATGTTTAGTTGACATTTTTGAGTATGTCATGCATTAGTCTAATAACAAGTCCCACGTACTAGTAAAAACTTGGGTTTAAACTTTTAAGTTTTGCACATTTTAAGGACTAAAACGTGACAATGCACCTTGAAATGATTTGTGCATAATGCTGCCTCAAAGCATTACTCCATCCACCTTCATATATATCCTCGAATTGTCCTTGATCAAGGGAAATCACAAGAAAAACTCAAAGAAAATCCACGTCCTACAAAAGTGAAATAAAGCTTAGCATTTTCTTGCTGAAATGATAGAGAATCTCTCTGAATAACTGAGGGATGAGAAGGTGAAGCCTGACTTACCAGAGATGGCATTCTTGGATGATAGAAGTTTGTAGCTGCAAGCCTGCCACCATGATGATCCCATTAACACCACCATTTTTCATCATCAAGTTAGATCTTGAAGCTACTTTGTAAGTCAGCCATTGTTAAGTAAAGCAGCAGTGTTTGTGCTGCAATAAAGAGACAGCACATGCACATCGTTGGATCATTCATTTTTGTCTCATCAAGCTGGAAGCATCACCTCCCACGTGGAAGGCAGTGTTAATGTCAAAGCATCCACCGCCTACTTGTCAAAGCATCCAGCACCAACTCGTCAAAGCATCACCTACTTTTTGATCAGCAAATGAAATTATTAAACAGGGTATTACAAGCAGTATCCCAATGCATGTACAGTTTAAAGTATGCTCATAACTTCTGGCACATAAAAAGGAAAAAGGGAGTCACAAAACAAGGGGTCCTACATAGGCCTAACAAGATTCTGCTATGCTCTTTGCACAAGCAACTGGGAATATTAAAAAAAGGATGAGAAATTAGAAAAATCAAAGGCTAAACTGAAATTAGATCGAGAAAATAATTCATTTAGAGTATGGATGGAGAAAGAGAATGCCAAGCATACATAGTAATATATGGTATTGTTATGGTATTGTTATTGAAGAAGACAGAAAGCATCAATTGTAACAAAAAAAAAGAGAAAGATCTATACATGAATTATTGAAATGAAATTGAAGTAAAATAATAACAAAAAGTTGTAGAAAGCCATAGGATCAGAAAAAAAAATAAAAAATTGGAGAATAAATGACAGAAATTTAGATAGTCTTTAACGCAACCAACATATATTAATCAAGAGAAGGAAGCTGGGAAATAATCATTAAATTCTATGGCAACTAAGATCATAGATGGCAGAGGAATAGACTAGTATATATATCATTAAAATGTATCACTTTGCTGAAGTAAGATAAACTATAGAGATAGCCTAATATATCAGTTTTGATTCCTTGTTCTAAAAATTAACAATAGCATAGCAAAAGCAAATAGGCATCGCAATAAAATTTTAAAGAGGCAATTTGGATACTTATAGGGTAAGTTCTGCTTTCTCAAATAAGAAACTTGTAAAACTGCAGCTTTAGTTAGTCAAATTACAAGCTTGTTTAATTCAACAGAGGTCATTCGTGTTCCAGTTCTAGCTTATAGAAAAATCTCAACTGAACATCAGTTACTCCTTGTTTCAAAAGTCTTCCCAATTCTTCGGAACGGAAAACATGAGCTCCTGCAGTAATTGAATTTAAAATTGAAATTGCTTGGCTTGCCTAAGAGTATCATTTTGCAAGCAAGAAGCTCTTTGGTGGTTGTGAATTTCCATAATGCCAAGGCCAACCACTCATCCCCTTTGAAATAATTTGAAAACATAAGCCTTTTTTGAGGCAACTGAAAGCATGTTTTCGAAGGAAAGTTATTTTAAGATGGATAATAAATAAAGTATATAGAGCTGATGAATCCAAGGAATTTATCAAGAAACAAGTGCGAGGTGTAAGCAAGCAACTATATGTACTTGATCAGATTGTAAGCTTGCTTCATTCAGCAAAGTTTTGGGCAATTTACATGAACTTCAATTCATCATCCATAAAAATAAAAATAAAAATAAATTCAAGGAATGAATGGAGTAGCAGTAACATTGAGGAGTGGCTTGGCTATATTTACCTCATCAACAATTGGTTGTAGCTAGCAGTTAGCTCTAGCAGTCAATCTGCACAAAAAAGGATTTGAAACGCATGTATAAGAAACAGCAACCCAAGTCAAAGAAAAGTGTTATCCATTATAATTTTTCTAAATTCTCATATGAAAAGTATAAAATGGTGATGCCAGTTTCAGTTCACACTAGGTCTTATTACCGGACCATAATCCATCCAAATGCAAGGGATGGTGTGGGTGAGAGTACAGTAGTCTCCTTTCTCCTCAAAGCGTTGTTGTTCTAAAAACGGACACCTTTGAATGGTTATTCGTCCAAGCGAGGGAGGGAAGCCTTCTCTTGGTAAAGATTGTAGCTTCGAGCAAAGAACTATTTTCAAAACTTTAAGGGAGTTCAGGTTTCGGAAGAACCCACTAGGTATGGATTCCAAGTTTTCTTGGCCATAGATCCCAAGAGAGGTTAAAGAAGAAGGCAACACAATATCTACAGGGAGTTTCTGCTCAATTGCCAAGTCTTGAAGAGATGTAAGGCTTTGGAGGCTCTGTCCAAATCCCATCGTCAAAGCCTCACCTGGGAGTGATAGAACCTGAAGCGATGTGAGTTGGTACATTGTATTCGGCACACACTTCAGATTCTTAAACCGTCTTAAATGAAGATGTGTTAAGTTTGGGGGCAAACCGCCATCTGGAATGAACTCGATACCGGGGCACTCTACCATCTCTAGCCTTTGAAGAGATTTTAGCTGGCACATCGTATGTGGGAGGGACTCTAAAGCTTCACAGCCGTAAATAGATAATTCAACGAGATTGTTGACACAATCAAGGGTTGGTAAACTTTTCAATATTTTACAATCGAAAATAAAAATGGATTGGAGTCCCGTACAATGTTGCAACATCCCCTCTGAAAATGATTCCAACCACTCACCACCATCATAAACTGTTAATTTCTTGAGAAAAGCTAGTAGATGATGATAACCCTCAGAAGAATACAAACATGGAATATTAGTTATTTCCAAATGTAGATTGCTATTACTTTCACCATCCACATCCGGTAGAGACCCCAGAACTTTACAGTTTGATATGCTTAAGTATTTAAGCGTGATAGGTAATTTACCTCTTGGAAAAGACTTGAGAGAATAACAACCCCAAATTTCCAACTTTTCCAGTCTCGACATCAACATGCTAGTGTTGCTGCTACTGCTTCCATCCATCCTCATCATCATTGCATTAGGTAATGACTCCAAAGCTGCACATCCCACAATGCTAAGATGTTTAAGATTGAAAGGCAAGAGGCTTTGTTCAATTTCTGTCCCTTCCTCCCACAAACAAGTAAGATCGTTGCAACATGTAATATCCAAAGTCTCAAGTGCTCTCAAGGACCGTGTAAAACTCCCAGGCAAGCAAGACAATTCTGAAATTTTCTCAATTCTCAAATTGGCAAGCGAGGTGAGATAACTCATACTCATCAAAAGCATTGCATCGCAGCTTCTAACATCCAACTTTTTAAGTGAAGAAAGGTTGCTAGGTAATTGTCCTAACTTAGGACAATTTTCAATCACAAGTGTGCAAAGACAAGGGAATTCACCATCACTTCCAGTTGGAGAAGTCCATTCCTTCCAATTTAACATGTTGTGAAATCGCAGTACCTCCAGTGACGAAAAAGAGTCATGCCTCCCATAAAACTCAAAACCTACAACTTCTATAGCCTCCATGCCTTCAATAATCAATTCTTTGAGAACAGGTAATAGGCCAAGTGAAGGCAACAAAGTGCATCTCCTACAACTGCTGAGCACCATGGATGATAAATTGAAAAATAATAATGGATCACAAACCCAATTTGGAAAATTCTCGCCACTATAGCAAAAAATTTCCAAACTTTTCAAATTTGGATGAGGTTTTAACCAATGGAGAACCTGCATTTCAGGGACTAATTCATTCCTATCATTATCAAAAGTAGTCCACCCCAAGAGTAACTCTTCCAAACCATGGATTTTGTCTAGGTTGGCCTCCCTGGCATCTTGAACATCCAAAACATTTTGCAGATCTAGAAGAGATAGTCTTCCACGAAGTTGTGAAAAGTTCTTCAAATCAAATAATCTCATCAATCCACTTGCCTTCCCCACAATCACTTTGGACAATGTCACAAGATTTTTAAGATTACAAATTTCAGCTGGCATCTCTTTTAAAGATGGTGTTTCATTTATATCAAGATAATGGAGATCAATTAGATTTCCAATTGTTGTAGGCAACTTAGTAAGAAAGCCACAATAAGATAATAACAGTGTTTGCAAGAAGAGAAGAGAACCCACTGATTCAGGTAGACATTTAATTTTTGTATGAGACAAATCAATGTATCGAATATGTTTCAAATTTTCAAAAGAATTTGGTAGCTTGCTTATCTGATAACTATGAAGAGATAGCACTCTTAAGCGATTTAATGTTGGCAAGAAATCATGTGAGATTCTATTAGACAAATAGAAGTTATTGTAGTAATTGAGTGCTTTTACCGGCAAGAATGTTCTCAAATGCTTCAATTTATCCAAGACTGTGAATCTCTCTGAGATTTCATAAGAGTGTGGAGTGAATGACAAATGACGAGCCTTCTTTAATTTTTCATCACCCATGCTACGTTCAAGATTGCAATATATTTCTCCAGCAACATCTACGGCTAAATCATTTATAAGGTCATGCATCACAAATTGTGATTCAACTCTGCTTGATCGTTGAAAGAGTGATCTTGATAGCAACTCTTGGAAATATTGATGACCAATCTCCTCTTCCATTTGCTTCTTTCCATGAGATTGTTGCTGTAATAAGCCCTCAGCCATCCATAACAGAACCAACTCCTTTTTTTCAAATTCATAGTCTTTAGGGAACAAAGCACAATAAGCAAAGCATCGCTTCAAGTGAGAAGGAAGATGATTGTAGCTCAACCTCAAAGTAGGAAGAATTCCACTTCTATCTTCTAATGGGCTCCATATCTCACTATTTAATATATTTTCCCACTCCTTATAATGCAGCTTTCCTCGTAAAACGCCACCGAGGGTCTTTAGTGCCAATGGCAATCTTTTGCACCTCGTAACAAGCTTCTCACCAATATCTTGTAGGTCGGGGTGCATATCAAAGTTCTCTTTCCCTAGTGCATGCTGTGTAAATAATGGCAAACAAACATCATCTTGTAGCAATTCTAAATTGTAAATTCCATCATCTCCCCTCATCATCATCCCAACATCCTTATTTCGAGTTGTGACAATTATCTTACTTCCAAGAGCCCCTGACATGAAAGGTCTCTTCAAGACATCCCACTTGCCATATTCCTTATTCCAAACGTCATCCAATACAAGAAAAAACTTACGCCTAGATAGCTTCCCTTTCAATTTCTCTTGAAGCTTACTAAACACAAATTCACACTTTTCCTCAGTTATGTGTTCTAAAATGTTTTTAGTTATTTAAGGAACATCAAACTCATCAGAAACACAAACCCATACCTTCAAGTCAAACATGCCTTCTAGTCTTTTGTCATTGTAGATGAGCCGTGCAAGAGTTGTCTTGCCTAGTCCACCCATTCCAACGATGGGAATAACAAAGTCTTGTTCGAGACTACCTCCATCTTCTAGCAACCTCTGAATAATAGCATCTTTATCTCTATCTCGACCCCACACCTTATCTTCAAGAAGAGAAGACTCAAGTAGTCTTTTTGTAGCTACTTTGTGAGACATATCTTCAAGTTTCAAAGCCAAATTGGTCAACTCTAAACTACACATCCCATTATGAATTTTCTGCAATCTAGCACTCAGATCCTTCACCATGGAATTAATCTCCTGATTGGGCTTAGCCTTATTAGAGCTAAAAAAATTCTTAACAATGGAGGTGATTCTTTGTCGCTTGCTAGATCTAGCTTTAGATTTTGCAATCAATTTAGACCTCTTGGCATCAATCACAAACTCTTCAAGTATGTCCTCCATGTCATAAGCCAAGTCCCTAAGATCATCAAGATATGACTTCACAAATTGGTTGGCAACTTGATTTTCTTCAGCATGTTGAAGTACAGCAATGATTTTTGGCAATAGAGTCTTCCAGCTTTCCATCTGGGCACATGCTTCCTCTTTTGAATCCCATAAATGATCACTTAGATATTCATTTAACTTTTGGAATAGCAAGTCAAATGTAGTAGATAAAAGAGAATCTCCAACAATAGATAGGACATTCATTGAATTAAATAGCTTTTCTGCAAAGAGAGGAACAAATTGAAGTACAAGGTAGATTGATCTATTGAATACCATGCTACTACATAGTTTGATTTAGATGTTCAAAGCATTAAAGAAGAAAAGATATTTATTTGAAAGTAGTATATATATATATATAGGGACGTCAACGGGGCCCCGCGGGGCTGGGGAGTCCCTCCCCGTCCCCGTCCTCATCCCCGCGAATGGTAGGGACGAGGATCCCCGCGGGAATTTTTGACGGAGGGTAAATTTTGCCCCTCGTCCCCGTTCCCCATCAATTAATATTAAATTATAAATTTTTTTTGTCTTTTATATATAATTAATTAATATTCAATTATAATGAATAAAATTTTAAAAATTCAAATACAATT